CAGTAAGCATCCAGGTTAGCAAATAAAACTTTCCATTAATCACTCGATACAGTGGGCATCCTAAAGGCGCAGTGGACCTCCCTAAACAGTTAACCGGAAACACTTTCTCGCACTGACTTCCTCAAGAGCAATTATCAGCCACCAGCTCCGCACGCTGACGGAAGTGCCCTGCAGAACAGAGGCTTTGAGCATCTAGGACATAAACGTTCCGCCCTTCCCCGTCTCCCACACTCACTCGACGCCGCGGTCCAAGGAATTCTACGGATAAAAGCAACCGGCGGAGCCAGCGTCAATCCGCGTCTCACTGCCGAGGCGGCCATGTCGAGAAGAAAAGCGTCAGCGAGCTCAGGTCGCGACACCGGAAGAACCTGCTGAGTCACAAGCTGGGACATCTACTTCCGGGTCAAGGGCTTCGCGGTTTCGACATGGGGAAGATGGCGGCTGCCGTCGGGTCCGTGGCCATGCTGGCGACCGAACCCGGGGAAGACGCCTTCCGGAAACTCTTCCGCTTCTACCGGCAGAGCCTGCCCGGGAGCGCAGACCTGGGAGCGGTCATCGACTTCTCGGCGGCGCACGCGGCCCGAGGCCCGGAGTCCCCAAGGTAGGGAGGGAGGAGCCGTGCGCCCGCGCCCTGGAGGGCCTCGCCGACGTGCCAGCCGCCGGGCGGTTGTGCTGGGATCCCGGCCGCCCTGCGCGCAGCGGGCTGCCCACCGCCCCCAGAGCGCTGTCCTGCAGCTTTCTCCGCCGGTCCCCCGCGGCCTCGCTCATAACCCCCGGGGATTGCTGGTGTTTCCTATAACTGTCCAGTGAATGAATGCACATGCGTTATTTTGCCTCAAACCCCGCATATCTTCCTGGAGGTCAGGGTAGGCCTGCCGCCTCAATAAACCCGACCATCGGATGAGTCTGGTAGACGAGACCCTGCCTTTCCTGAGGCTTTGAGGGATTTTGAAATAATCCCCCGAATGAAAGTGGATGTCAAATGAGTATGTCTAAAGTCTGAACAGTGCACCTTATTTGTGCTTCTCCTGTGTGAAAAGAACATAATGAGAAGTGAGTGGGGGCGGGGTGGCACAACTGTAGAACTGTAGTCTGGATATATTTTCCTTAGCCACTTTGTAAGTTTGCCTTGTTTTGTTGAGACAGGGTCTCATTTTGTAGTCCAGACTACGTAGACTCAGACTCATAGCAACCCTCCTTACTCAGCCTCCCAAGTACTGTGATTACAGGCATGAGCGGTATACCATGCCAGGCATCCTTTGTTGTCACAGGGAGAAGATGTGATACTTCATTTGGCCTTAGTTTTGTGCAGGAATGCCCAAACGGGACATTCTTCACAAGCACAGAGCTAGAGAAAATCTGAATGCTATAGTAACTCCCTACTTGTGGAGAACATTTTTAGCAAAAATGGTCTTAAAGTTGTCAGAGTCGCATAGGGAAAGTGTGCACCCTAAAATTAACGTTTAACTGAGAAAAGTTCTTCAGACCTTCAGCTTCATTTATTTATATTTTACCATAATGCAAATGTACTTTTAGAATGTAAGCCGCCTGAGAATGAGACATTGTGTATACAGCACAGTACTTTAAAAAGCACTCAGAAATATAGTATGTGAAGAGTAAATGAAAGCTTGGGTTTTCAGTTCCCCCACCTAAAGCAGATTATAAGTAGCAAATTGGAAAAGCTGCTGCTATTACAGGACCTCAGATGAGAACAGCAGGACATGGGACATCAAGTGACGGCTACCAGAATGGCAAGAGAAAGCAAAACTTCAGAGCTCAATGGTTGCTGGGCTTGATGGTGCACAACTTTAATCCCAGCATTCCAGAGGCAGAGGCAGTCAGATCTCTGAGATGGAGGCCAGCCTGGTCTACATAGCAAGTTTCAGGCCAGCCTTGGCTATAGGGAGACTCTCAAGAAGACAAAAAAAAAAAAATCAAGCTCAGCAGTTTGGTTCATTAAGCTCCTAAACCTGCTTTAGCTCTGAGAACACTGCTGAACTATAATGCAGTATTAAGTAGTGCCTATTTCTCACTGGTTAAGAACATACTGAATATGGCTTGAAGATGTGATCTCATGACTTATCAGGCCACCTTTGCTGCCATGTCTCCCCTGCCATTAGGGGCTCTAACCCTCTGGAACCATAAACTCTTCCTTCTATAGGTTGCTTTGGTCAGTGTTTTATCATAGCAACAGAAAAGTAACTAATACAGAAGTTAGTTCCAGAGAGTGGGCTGTTGGCTGTGAAGAACCTGACCATTTGGGGTTTGGGAGCAATGTGGTATGGAAGTGTCTCAGAGTGTCTCATGTTAATCAAAACTCAGTTTTCACTAACTTGAAGCATGGATATGGGAAGTGACAGTGAGTAAAAGAATATGAACAAAAAGAAATTATCAGAAACTGAGAATCTCCTTTCTTCCCCCCCCCCCCCTTGAATAGGGTTTATTTTTATCCCAGACCCATTCCTCCCAGGATACCAGTGGCACTGGGTAAAACAGTGCCTTAAGCTCTATTCCCGGAAACCCAGTGTATGTAACCTGGACAAGCACATGACTAAAGAAGAGACCCAATGCAGGCGTGGTAGCACACACCTTTAATCCCAGCACTCGGGAGGCAGAGGCAGATGGATCTCTCTGAGTTCAAGGCCAGCCTGGTCTACATAGTTCCAGGTCAGCTGGGGCTACAGGGACACCCTGTCTCAAAAAGACCAGAAAAAAAAAAGAGACCCAAGATCTGTGGAAACAGAGCAAAGAGTTCTTGAGGTAAGTCTATCAGTCAGTAGGATCTTCTCAGATCTTTGAAGAAACGGTTCTATAATAATGCTGTGAAAGTGGGTTGTTTTTTCTCATTTCTACAAATTAGTACAATTCTGTTGTTTTCCCAAGAACATTTGGATAGATACTTTGACAGTTAATATTAGACTGAGATCAGTTTTAAAGATTTGCTTACCATAGTTTAGATAGTAAGTTCATCCACATTCATCATCACATGATCCACTTTATTTAGCTTCACTCCTTTTTTGTACTTAACGTGAACTCCTCCAAAGACTTTATAGTATCCTAGGAAAACATATCCCTGGTAGCTCTCCTGTTCTCCTACATGGAGTTACCATAGAACAGTTGTTGCTCATGGAAGGACTGGTATTTGTTTCTTGGTGGTGTTTCGGCATTCATTCCACAAATACTCATTGGCTGATCAGTTGGGTACCAGGCATGATGCTCCACACTGGAGACACAACACTTAATATCATGCTCTCTTTGTACTCAACATACAGACAACACTTAATATCATGCTCTCTTTACACTCAAAAGGGAATAGTCTGTTGTAGGAATTATCTACAAGAATAATTACAATAGAGCTGAGAAACTGTTACAGTAATGGTTAGAAAAACACTGAGGGAACAGAGGGAGAAAGAATAATTCTTTTAAACAGGATGAAGGTGTCAAAAATGTGAGGCTTTTTTTTTACTGCATCTATTCATCTTTTTTCTTACTGTCCATTTGAACTATCAGCAATGATTAGAAGTTTGTCAGATGGAAAAGTAAAAGGGCTGACTAGGTATAAAACAGCAGAAGCAGATAAACCATGTTTCGGCATATCCGTAGACCTTACCTGACTCCATGCTCATGGCCAGGCAAGGGGGACAGTGTATGCAAGAGTAATTGGAGTTCTTGCAAGTTCTAACCAGCTTAATCAATAACTGGGTAAATTGCAGTACTCCAACATTCGTTCTCCTGCTTCATCTCATCTTGTGATTTTTATGCTAGGCAGTAAGTGGAATTTAATCTCTGTTCTTTTATTTCCTTTCTAAAAAAAAAAAAACCAGATCCTATCCTATCATTGATTTTTGTGGTTTCATGGATAGAAACATTCACATACGTAATTTGGCAGGTACAGGTTTAGAGTGTATATGTTACCATGAGAATGGTCACGTACATGGTTGGAATAGTGTGTAGAGAATGCTTTCTGGAGGTTGTCGTGTGTAGGGTTGGGAAAACATGAAGTGGGCACAGTGAGTGGGACCAAATTGTCCAGGGTTCATAATAGAGCACTAGCTCTAGAGTCATATAGCCTGTATTCACATCCTGGTTCAGCTCCTTACTAGCTGTGAAAGCCTGAGCAAGTTTCTTAACTTTTTCTTACTGAATAGTATGCATATATTTGAGAACCTTGGAAGAAAGCCTGTTGAAACCATTATACCAACTTGGTGTCCCATCTGGCCTCAGTAGCTTTAATGGTGCCATCAGCTATCAATGCTGATTCTAAGAAAGAAATAGATTTATTTATGTTCATGGAGAAAGAAGCTGTAAAGTTTGGTGGTTTTCCTTTAAAGCATTCTTGGTCATAAGTTGGGTGTGTAGGAACAGTGAGGGAAGCCTTTCCTGTCCTTCAGTTTTTAGTGCTACCTTAGAACTATGAGCAAAGTAAGATCAGGACTGAATGAAATTAGCTTATTATAAACCAGCCTTTATTTTCAAGTAATTTATTCTTTCTCTTCTGATATGTAACTATAGAAATCCCAGCTGCCTTCTGAGCTAGCTCAGATGGACCTGTGTATTAAATCATCCAGTAGACAATGGTGAGATGCTTTTTTTTTTTTTTTTTTTTTTTTTTTAAAAAAAAAAAAAAAAAATTTTTGTCTAATAAATTAGCAAAAATAACAGATGTGATGGTCATACCTTATGCTGTCAAGGACTAGAAGAAATTGATAGGCTGAGAACTTGTACTGGCAGTAAAAATCGATTGGGTCTCTAGTTCCCATCCTGTGACTGTGTGGTGTGTGTTTCCATTATCTCTAGTGGGAAATGCCAGTGTTAGATGGGATAAGCCATTCCAGGTATTCAAGTCATGACCCCTCAGTCATGTGAACAGTGCTCAACGCTGTCTCCACTTTCCCCAAAGTCTGTCAGAGTGGAAAGTGTCTACTGTTCAGAACATTTGCCTTAAGATTCTGATTATCTACCCCAAAATCCTCCCACTTTGAGAACTAGGAACAAGAAGCCCTCTTAGAATCCTTTTACTCTTAACTCTGTGGAATTTCATCATCGCTTTAATTAGGAAATGAAGAAGTAATGCATGAATTTAGCAGAAAAATAGGGCTTCACAGAGTGATGGCATTTCAGCTGTGCACTTTCTTCAAAGGTAGTATAGCTAGAAAGTTATACAGAAGTAGAATTATTAGGGCTGGGAATATAGCTCAATGGTAGAGTGCTTCTAGCATGCACAAGGCCTGGGGTTCTTAAGAAAGTATGTGGGAAGCCAGGCATGGTGGCACATGTCTTTAATCCTAGCACTCAGGAGGCAGAGGCAGGCAGATCCCTATGAGTTCGAGGCCAGCCTAGATCTCCATTAGTGAATCCAGGCCACCTGCGGTTAGGGGAGACCTTGTCTCAAAAAGACCACCCCCCAAAAAAAGAAAGTGTGTGGGGATACAACATTTAAGGGCAAGCGTCTTTATTGCATCCTTGTTCCTTCTAGAGAAAATAATGGGAAACAGCCTGAGTTCATCAGCAGGCCACCAGATTAATCAAGTGTGCTATCCTATCCCAGCCAGTAGAATTCAACTGCTAAAAAACCTTAACTAAAACTATTGGAGATGCAGTAGGCATTAAAGTCATATTAAACTCTGTCATTTCTCGCCATCTCTAACCTAATAACCTTAGTCCAAGTCCAGATCCCTGGAGCTCACTGGCCAGCTGGTCTAGCCTACTTGGTGAATTTCAGGCTAGTGAGAGACCCTCTCTCAGAAAAAGAAGGTAGGATCCAGGAATATAGCTTGGTTGGTAAAGTGCTTGCCACATAAGCATGAGAATTTAAATTCAATTTCTGGCCCCCATGTAAAAAAATTCAAGCACAGTAGCACTCACTGATAAGCCCAGTGCTAGGGAAGTGGAGACAGATGGATCCCTGGGGCTCACCTGCATGCCTAATCAGCAAGCCCCAGGGTCTTCTGTTGAGAGACCCTGCCTCACAAAAACAAGGTAGACCACTTGCACATGAATATACACACACAAATAAGTAGATCATTAGCCAAATGATTGAATTCAGTCTTGAGGCCTTACCCATCACTTAGCCCTCTAATCATGTAATTGACTTTTGCAGAATGACCAGCCACATCCTGAATCATCTTCTTAGCATAAACCCAGGTGTGGTGCAAGGGCCTACCATGATGAACAGTGAGGCAGCTATCACTCAGGGAATCCTGAGGGTTTAGAGGGAGTGTGGCTCAGTGATAGAGCACTTGCCTGACATGCACGAGGCCCTGAGTTTGATCCGCAGGACCAAGAGCGTTACCTCCAGAACCAGAGAAAAGGGCCAGATTCTTTGTCATGTAACACCATCACATTTTCATAAATCTAAAACTGGTGCTGTCGCCTGGAAGACCTAGGAGTTCTGGCTCCATGACCTCTAACCTCATTTCCTAACATTCCTTTGCACTATTCTTGTCTAGCCACACTAGACATGTCTGGCCTTCACTGCTGTTCCATAAACTTATCAGCTGCTTAGATTCTTTGTACATCACTGTTCTGGCTACCTAGGAAGCTCTGCCCTTACATTCCTCTGGCTTCCTTCCATTAGGCCTTCTAATGTATAACAGAAGTCATACCTTATTCAATCCAGAATAGTCCCCTTACTTTGGATCCTCTTTTTTTTTTTACAACTTTCGCAGACGTGAGACTATTTTTTTAATTTTGGTATTTTGAAACAAGTTTCCACACTGTGGCCCAGGCACTCCTGGAACTCCTCTTGATCTTCCTGTCTCACTCAGCCTCCCAAGTTCTGGAATTTCAGGCCATGAGTCACTGTAATCAGCTCTCTATTGCCTATTTTTTTAATTGTTCTTTTGGCTGGCCTCCCAAGTGCTGAAGTTATAGGTGTGGACCACCACACCCAGCTCTTTCTTTTTTTAGGGCAGGAGTTGTCACTATGTTTCCCTGTCTAGCCTCAATGTCATGATCCTCCTAGCTCAACCTCTTGAGTGCTGGTTTCAAAAATTCTTTAAGAATAGGGCAAGATGCCAGGTGTGGTGGCGTTCACCTTTAATCCCTACACTTGGGAGGCAGAGTGCAGAGTTCAATGCCAGCCTGGTCTACATAGTAAGTTCTAGGACAGCTGGGGCTACAGGGAGACCCTGTCTCAAAAAAAAAAAAAATAGAGCAAGGGACTGAGGGTGTAACTCAATGATAGAGCTCAAGGCTCTGGGTTTGATCTACGACACTACCCAAAAAAATGGGGCTAGAGAGATTTCTCAGCAGTTAAGAGTACTTGCTATCTTGCAGAGGACCTGAGTTTGGTTCCCAGCACCCACTAGGCAAGTTCACAACCACCTATAACTCTAGCTCCAGGGGATCCAGCACCTTATTCTGGCCTCAAACACACACACACACACAATTTTTTAGGTATAAGGGGAAGTCTAAGATGAAATAAAGTAGCTTAGTTTTAGCTTTTATATGTTAGCTTCTAAAATACTTTGGGGCGGGGGATGGTATTTTTGAGACAGAATCTCCCTGTAACCCCAGCTGGCCTGGAAATCACTATGTAGACCAGGCTAGCCTTGAACTCACAGAGATCCACCTGCCTCTGCCTCCGGAGTGCTGGGATTAAAGGTGTGAGCTATCATACCCAGCCTAGCTTCTGAAATACTTTATATCCATTTTGCGTGTGAAGGCCTTTTTACCAATACATTCCATGTAGAGACAGAATTAGTCCCTTTTTGCTCCTTTAAAACTTTGGTTGAGGTTTTTATTCTTATTTTTATTTTATGTGTATGAGTGTATTACCTGCATGTGTGTAAGTGTACATGTGTCATGCAGTGCCTGCAGAGGTCAGAAGAAGGCGTCCAATCCCCTGGAACTGGAATTACAAATGGTTTTTAGCTGCCGTGTGGGTGCTGGAAATTGAACCCGGGTCCTCTGCAAAAGTAGTCAGTGCTCTTAACCACCGAGCCATCTCTCCAGCCCCAAGATTTTTATTCTTAAATATGTGGAAGTGTTAAAACATGTATGTAAGTCAAGAGGAAGAAACAAGGGGCTAGAGAGATGACTCAGCAGTTAAGAGCACATGCAGCTCTTGGAGAGGACTTGAGTTGGGTTCCCAGCACCCTTGTCAGGCATGTCATGGCCTATAACTCCAGTTCCAAGGGGATCCAATGCCTCTGGCCTCTGCAGGCACCTGCACTATGCCTGTACCCACACACATACACATAATTAAAAATAATAAAATAAATATAATAATAATGATAAAATAATAAATAGTAATAAAAGAGGAACAAATAATCTCAGAGGGAAGTTTGAAAATATGAGAAGGAACATCTTCAATGGAAGAAGACCTAAGAGGCTGTCAGGAAATGGGATGTAGTACGGCTAGAGAATGACTTGACCTTGGTGGAGATAACTGGACCACTTCTGAAACCAGAGAAAGATAGGTAGAAAATTTAGAGATGTTTGGCAGTGTGGCTGAGAAGAGATGGTGTTTTACTGGGACATTGGGTCAAGCTGCTTTCCTCATTATCCTAGAAAGAAAAATAAGAGCAAAACTGAGGGCTTGAGATGTGTGGAGTACAGGGCAGATGCTGGGAGCTGGGGGTTTCTGGTTGAAAAGGGAAAGAACTAGAAACAGCTCAGTGAAAGAACATGGCTCTAGGACAAGAAGTCGGAGTTCGGGTTGAAAGAAATGAGAGACTAGGAGAAGAGGGAGGAAAGAAAACTGGTCTCAGGAAGGAGGCAGT